TCACAGTGATTCACACACTTTACTTACGGTGCCTCCTGTTCGCTTGACTCAATTGTCTATCACTTCAACATATATCTATATCTCTTCAATCAATCATCTCACAGGCTTATATACCAAAAGGGGCGTCCAGAAAACACTAGGAAATTCATGATCATTCGAGAAATTCATCACGTGTTACCAGCGTCACGTGACTTTCGCTGTCGTAACATTATTATATATTTATTTTAATATCAACGTTTGTTTAGATTAAGTTTATATTTAGAAATATGCATAGCTTATAGTGTTAAAAATATATTGCGAAACTCCCGCCTATTCTCTAAAGTTGTAGAATATTCTCGAGTGTAAAAATCAACAATATATTGTGTGTACATAAACGCTTAATGTAGTTTTGTATTGTTACATAATCTGAATTTTCTTGAAACTCTCCACACACCTATAAATATAACCAACGCGCCGCGCCAAAAAGAGAGTATCTATTATTAGTTTGCTATATTCAATGTGCTATAAACTTCGGAAACTATAACTGTGATTGTTGCAATGCTTGTCAATCACAAAACTTCAGATATTTGACCACGAACCTTTACGTAATTCGAACATTACAAATCATTTAACTTCAGTGGATTCTCATCGAACATTAGTACTTTAACGAAAACATTATATAACTTCATCGTGGAAAAACTCGGCGAGTGTGGCTGATGAATAACGAATTGTACCTACATCAACTCGTAATTAACTCGCTCATCGTGAACCCTCGATAAGATATCGAAAAAAGTTTCAGACTAGAAAGAAGACTTTATATTGCTTGTAAGTTTGTAAAATACTTGTACATAAATCATTGTGGGTACCAACTATTTGTAATAACTGTTGTTGTAAATGGGATTGTTGTGTATATATTAAAACATATTTGTGTTAAAAAAGAACACTGTGTGTATCAATCTTGTTGGCAAATATCATAAACTGGCAATATATCGGCTTTTACTTGATTGCGAAATCCAAAGTACAATTTAACTACTAAATTTAAATTATCAACTAACTCAATATCAGACCATTCGAAATTATAATAAATAACATAATAAACTGGGGGCTTGTGTCCGAAATCTGAATCAGAGATAAAATTCAATATAAATTAAAATTTATATCACAATTGAATTTATATTTATCAGTGCCAACAAGATCTGATCATGTCTGATTATCAAGATTGTCTTGAATCACCCTCCCTCTAAAAACTAAAAAATATAACAAAAATGAATTGCTAGAAATTTCCAAAGTTTTAGAACTATAAGTTAAAAGATCAATGAGCAAAAATGAACTAAAAAAGCATATTATCGAAATACTAGTTGATGATGATTTGTTGCCTGAGGAAGCATTAAAGGAATACTCTAGTGTCCCTATTAGCCAAGCGGGATTGAGTGATAAAGATAAATTAGACATCCAGCTAAATTTCAAACAAATCGAGCTTGAACAAGCTCGAATCGAAGCCGAGAAAGAACAAGCTTACATTGACGCCGAAAAAGAAATTAGACTGAAATAAATGGAAATTGGGCTCAACACCGATCGACCAAGGCCAAATGACATCTTTGAACTTAATCGATATGCTAAAGTACCACCATTTAATGAAAATAAAGTTGATAAATATTTTCAACATTTTGAGAAGGTTACCCAAACCATGGAATGGCCCACCGAAAAATAGTCATTATCATCACAAAGTGTTTTAACTGGTAAATCACAAGAAGCTTATGCCGCTCTCTCTCTAGAAGATTGTAAGAATTATGATAAGGTGAAAGCGACTATTCTCAAAGCACACGAGTTAGTACCAGAGGCTTATCGTCAAAAGTTTCGAGATTATCACAAACAAGATAATCAAACTTATATGGAATTTGCCCACGAAAAAGATGTTTATTTTGATCGATGGTGTAATTCTATGCATATTGGCAACAGTTTCGACAAACTAAGACAATTACGTATAATCGAGAAATTTTAACGTTGTACACGTGACGACCTCAAATCCTACTTGGATGAAAAGAAAGTTGAAACACTACAGGAAGCAGCCGCTCTTTCCGATGACTACACTTTAACACATAAAACCACTTTTCATAAAATAAATTTCTACCATCTCAACAAAAGCCTGTATCGGTCCAATCCACTAAAGTTGAGGATCCTTCTAAAAAAATCCAGCTCCTCTAGTTCTAAATCTTCATACAGTCGGGCTAAAACTTCATCAAAGCTATCAAGGCCTGTCTGCCATTTTTGTAAACCTGGTCATGTTATGTCCGATTGTTGGGGTTTGAAGACGAAAAAAGAAAAGGAGGCAACACCCAATGCGTTTATGTCCACATCTGAACGTAGTTTCACCAGATCACTTGATGTTGTTGATTTGGCCACTGATATTAAGGCTTATGTAATCAGAGAGGAATTTAGACCTTTTGTGTCTGTTGGTTCT